ATTTTGATAATTGTCTAAAAATACTAAAAACTTTAAAAAATCATATCTGCCAAAATTTTTGAAGTAAAGCAATGATTTATATCTTAAATTAAAGTTGAAAGATGATATTTTATGATATGATTAAAATAATATTGGGTTTTATCGATAAATTTTTTTGAAAAAAATTGTGAAAATAGTTGTAAATATGTCAAAATAAAAAAATAAAAAATCACCTTTCAAGTATTTTTGGGAGTTAAGAAACGATTTATATTTTAAATTGAAGTTAAAAGTTCTTATTTTATGGTAGCATGACTCAACATTGGGGTTGATAACAAAAATAAGTCGATTAAAAACCTAAATGAAGAAGTTGATGAAATATGTTATTTTGATAATTGCCTAAAAATACAAAAAACTTAAAAAAAATCATATCTGCCAAAATTTTTTAAGTAAAGCAATGATTTATATTTTAAATTAAAGTTGAAAGATGATATTTTATGATATGATTAAAATAATATTGGGTTTTATCGATAAAGTTTTTTGAAAAAAAGTGTTGTGAAATAAGTTGTAAATATGTCAAAATAAAAAAATAAAAAATCACCTTTCAAGTATTTTTGGGAGTTAAGAAACGATTTATATCTTAAATTGAAGTTAAACGTTCGTATTTTATGGTAGCATAACTCAACATTGGGGTTGATAATAAAAATAAGTCGATTAAAAATCTAAAGGAAGAAGTTCATGAAATATGTTATTTTGATAATTGCCTAAAAATACTAAAATCTTTAAAAAATCATATCTGCCAAAATTTTTGAAGTAAAGCAATGATTTATATTTTAAATTAAAGTTAAACGATGATATTTTATGATGCGATTAAAATAATGTTGTGTTATATGGATAAATTTTTTTGAAAAAAATTGTGAAAATAGTTGTAAATATGTCAAAATAAAAAATCACCTTTCAAGTATTTTTGGTAATTAAGAAACGATTTATATCTTAAATTGAAGTTAAACGTTCTTATTTTATGGTAGCATGACTCAACATTGAGTTGATAACAAAAATAAGTCGATTAAAAACCTAAACGAAGAAGTTGATGAAATATGTTATTTTGATAATTGCCTAAAAATACAAAAAACTTAAAAAAAATCATATCTGCCAAAATTTTTTAAGTAAAGCAATGATTTATATTTTAAATTAAAGTTGAAAGATGATATTTTATGATATGATTAAAATAATATTGGGTTTTATCGATAAAGTTTTTTGAAAAAAAGTGTTGTGAAATAAGTTGTAAATATGTCAAAATAAAAAAATAAAAAATCACCTTTCAAGTATTTTTGGGAGTTAAGAAACGATTTATATCTTAAATTGAAGTTAAACGTTCGTATTTTATGGTAGCATAACTCAACATTGGGGTTGATAATAAAAATAAGTCGATTAAAAATCTAAAGGAAGAAGTTCATGAAATATGTTATTTTGATAATTGCCTAAAAATACTAAAATCTTTAAAAAATCATATCTGCCAAAATTTTTGAAGTAAAGCAATGATTTATATCTTAAATTAAAGTTAAACGATGATATTTTATGATGCGATTAAAATAATGTTGTGTTATATGGATAAATTTTTTTGAAAAAAATTGTGAAAATAGTTGTAAATATGTCAAAATAAAAAATCACCTTTCAAGTATTTTTGGTAATTAAGAAACGATTTATATCTTAAATTGAAGTTAAACGTTCTTATTTTATGGTAGCATGACTCAACATTGAGTTGATAACAAAAATAAGTCGATTAAAAACCTAAACGAAGAAGTTGATGAAATATGTTATTTTGATAATTGCCTAAAAATACTAAAAACTTTAAAAAATCATATCTGCCAAAATTTTTTAAGTAAAGCAATGATTTATATCTTAAATTAAAGTTGAAAGATGATATTTTATGATGTGATTAAAATAATATTGGGTTTTATTGATAAAATTTTTTGAAAAAAAGTGTTGTGAAAAAAGTTGTAAATATGTCAAAATAAAAAAATAAAAAATCACCTATCAAGTATTTTTTGGAGTTAAGAAACGATTTATATCTTAAATTGAAGTTAAACGTTCGTATTTTATGGTAGCATAACTCAACATTGGGGTTGATAATAAAAATAAGTCGATTAAAAATCTAAAGGAAGAAGTTGATGAAATATGTTATTTTGATAATTGCCTAAAAATACTAAAAACTTTAAAAAATCATATCTGCCAAAATTTTTGAAGTAAAGCAATGATTTATATCTTAAATTAAAGTTGAAAGATGATATTTTATGATGTGATTAAAATAATATTGGGTTTTATCGATAAAATTTTTTGAAAAAAAGTGTTGTGAAAAAAGTTGTAAATATGTCAAAATAAAAAAATAAAAAATCACCTTTCAAGTATTTTTGGGAGTTAAGAAACGATTTATATCTTAAATTGAAGTTAAAAGTTCTTATTTTATGGTAGCATGACTCAACATTGGGGTTGATAACAAAAATAAGTCGATTAAAAGTCTAAATGAAGAAGTTGATGAAATATGTTATTTTAATAATTGCCTAAAAATACTAAAAACTTTAAAAAATCATATTTGCCAAAATTTTTGTAGTAAAGCAATGATTTATATTTTAAATTAAAGTTGAAAGATGATACTCTATGATGTGATTAAAATAATATTGGGTTTTATTAATAAAATTTCTTAAAAAAAAAATATTGACAAAAAAGTTATAAACATGTCAAAATAAAAAATTACCTGGAAACTATTTTTGGGATTAAGAGACGATATATCTTAAATTGAAGCCAAAAATTCTTATTTTATGCCTATACTAAAAAATTTGATGAAAAATGTAACCAAAAACTTACTACCACAATTTTTAAGTCCACGATTTCTATTCTAAATTAAAGCTAAAGTATAATATTTTATGATGTGATTAAAAAGATATTAGATTTGATGCATAAAATTTCTAGAAAAATAATGTTACGAATAAAATTGTAAATGTGTCAAAATTAAAAATCACCTTGAAAATATTTTTGGGAATTATGTCTTAAAGTTTTGCTGCAAAATGTTTTTAGAAAAAATTATGATCTAAAAGACAAAAACTATTTCTGTGGAATTTAATGTCTAAAATATTCAAAATGCTGTGATTACAATAAATTTTACCACAATTTTGTTGCAAAAAAAGTTAAGGGATTAAATTCCATTTTTTTTGGAGAACTTACCTGTAACAAATCCAGAGTGTCCAAACATAGTTTGAGGTGGTCCATAGCTGGAATAATGGTACACATCTTGTCCATCGTTTCCATTCGCGAAGGACATCGTTGGACTTGGCTTATAACGTTTCTTTTTTTTTAAATCGTGTCAAAATCGGCTTCCGTTTCAAGCCCGGACGGAGACTGAACCGAAAACTGGGATATGCGCACTGAACGCTAGATCCTATGGGATACTTCAGGAGGACGTGGATTGGACGGTTATTTCTGATCCTTATTGCAAACCCTTAGTCCTGTAGGCGTCTCCTATTCCAAGCCACTCCTTCTTTTTCCATCGGATTATGTTTTGTATTACAACAAACAAATCAATATTTAATCTTTATTCGAGATATATGTTAATTTTAAAATTAAAAGAATTTTATGTTAATCTGTTTTGCACGAAAATAATAAAGGAAGAAAACTATATGGGAGGTATTTTTAATAGGGTAAAGTGGATGTTTTTTTTTGCTTTTTTTTGACAAAGTGGGTACATTGAAAATTATTAGGGGCGACACGAGGGGCCTAACGACACGGGATGGTACTTTTGCTGGACCGTACAAGTTTACCCTGGCGCCAGCCAATGCATTTACGCACTTTCTCGTGTGCACTATATTTTACTCCACTTGAAACGCTAGATAAAGAGGACCGTTTAAAGGCGTTTAAAGTGCCTAAGTAATTTTATATAGGGAACAAGAATTCGACCATTCCTTTATTTTTTATCATCAATATTTTTATCTTAAAAATAATTCTTTTAACTTTATTATTTTTCTTTTTTGATATAATTTGATGTTCAAATTTAATCCGATTAACGCACCAAAAATCAATAACATAATTACAATTAAAATTACGAATTACTATCTCTTTGATTTTTTTAACCCTTAGTAAAGCATCCGGTTTTGTTTTAGATCCTTTTGTTTGGAAATGGCAGGCGTATTTCGAGAAAAACCACATGGCCGCAGTAATCAACCTAAGTGGAGAACACGAGTGCACCTGAGCAAGAAAGAAAAGAGTCAAATAAAACGCGATTTTAAACAACGCTAAATTTATTTATTCCAACCCAATTCGAAGGTTTAATTTTAAACGAAACGAATACACCCATCTTTATTTTTAACAATCGAATTAAATAAACACCTACTTTAATAAAAATTAAAATCATTAAAAAAATTTATTATTTAAACAAAACAAATTTGAAGATTTTGTTAAAATTTAACAAATTTAACAATTTAAAATTTGAAAATTTAAGCGACATCTTATCACAAAACACTTAACTTTGTAGATGTATATTTGATACATAGATGGCTCCACTAGTTATATATACAAATTTAAAAAAATCATATTTAATGCAATTTTTTAAGAAAACTAACAATTCATATCTTAAATTAAAGCTAAAAGATGATATTTTGTGATGAGATTAAAAAATTTTAGGGTTGATTCACAAAATTTTGCGAAAAATAGAAAATAGACAATTATTTTTGGGAGATATAAAATCGTTATAAAACACTAAACCTTGTAGTTGTACTTTTGGTACATAGATGGCACTACTTATTATCCTTTTAATTCAAAATAATATATACATATACATACAGTGTGTTAATTAATTATAGTACCCGACGTCATCATTGCAAGTATGCAACCAATATCACAGTATTGGTTGACACAGTGTACATATAAGGAAAAATCATCGGCTGCTTCAAATATCATGAATAATACTTAGGGCGGCCGACGTCTTCGAAGTCGGCCGAGATTATTTCTTATGCCACAAAAAATTCTTGGGGATAAAAAATATTAGGGTTGATTCACAAAATTTTGCGAAAAATACAAAATAGACAATTATTTCTGGGAGGTATAAAATAGTTATAAAACACTAAACCTTGTAGTTGTACTTTTGGTACATAGATGGCACTACTTATTATCCGTTTAATTCAAAATAATATATACATATACATACAGCGTGTTAATTAATTATCGTACCCGACGTCATCATTGCAAGTATGCAACCAATATCACAGTATTGGTTATCACAGTGTATATATAAGGAAGAATCATCGGCTGCTTCAAATATCATGAATAATATATAGGGCGGCCGACGTCTTCGAAGTCGACCGAGATTATTTCTTATGCCACAAAAAAATCTTGGGGATTATTTCTTATATCAGGAACAATATTGGGGGCAGCCGACGTCTTGGAAGTCAAACAAAAGCAGAAGTAATCTCAGCCGACTTCGAAGATGTCGGCTGCCTCAACAATTTTTCAAGATATATGAAATAATCTCGGCCGACTTCGAAGACGTCGGCCGCCCCAAGTTTCATGACCAATACTTAGGGCCAACTATTTTTCAAGATATATGAAATAATCTCGGCCGACTTCGAAGACGTCGGCCGCCCCAAGTTTCATGACCAATACTTAGAGCGTTATATATACAAATTTAAAAAAATCATGTTTAACGCAATTTTTTAAGAAAACTAACAATTCATATCATAAATTAAAGCTAAAAGATGATATTTTGTGATGAGATTAAAAAATATTAGAGTTGATTCACAAAATTTTGCGAAAAATACAAAATAGACAATTATTTCTGGGAGGTATAAAATCGTTATAAAACACTAAACCTTGTAGTTGTACTTTTGGTACATAGATGGCACTACTTATTATCATTTTAATTCAAAATAATATATACATATACATACAGTGTGTTAATTAATTATAGTACCCGACGTCATCATTGCAAGTATGCAACCAATATCACAGTATTGGTTGACACAGTGTACATATAAGGAAAAATCATCGGCTGCTTCAAATATCATGAATAATACTTAGGGCGGCCGACGTCTTCGAAGTCGGCCGAGATTATTTCTTATGCCACAAAAAATTCTTGGGGATTATTTCTTATATCAGAAATAATATTTGGGGCAGCCGACGTCTTGAAAGTCAAACAAAGGCAGTAGTAATCTCCGCCGACTTGGAAGATGTCGGCTGCCTCAACTATTTTTCAAGGTATATGAAATAATCTCGGCCGACTTCGAAGACGTCGGCCGCCCCAAGTGTCATGACCAATACTTAGAGCGTTATATATACAAATTTTAAAAAAATCATGTTTAACGCAATTTTTTAAGAAAACTAACAATTCATATTATAAATTAAAGCTAAAAGACGATATTTTGTGATGAGATTAAAAAATATTAGGGTTGATTCACAAAATTTTGCGAAAAATACAAAATAGACAATTATTTCTGGGAGGTATAAAATAGTTATAAAACACTAAACCTTGTAGTTGTACTTTTGGTACATAGATGGCACTACTTATTATCCGTTTAATTCAAAATAATATATACATATACATACAGCGTGTTAATTAATTATCGTACCCGCCGTCGTCATTGCAAGTATGCAACCAATATCACAGTATTGGTTAATACAGTGTATATATAAGGAAGAATCATCGGCTGCTTCAAATATCATGACCAATACATAGAGCGAGATTATTTCTTGCATAAATTTCAAGCAGTTTTAATACAAAATAAGATATATAAGGAATAATGTGGTATTAAAAAAAAACAATAAAAATGCATTAATAAAGAATGTATGTTTTATTAAAATACGATGATAGTGTAAAATCTATACAGTCGGTATACAAGGCCCGCCTGAAACGTGATATTGCATAGGTTTTCATATTAAGTACATTATAATTGTTTTAAAAGTCTTCACCTTGAAAATTCTAATAAGATCTTAAAAGACGTTGTTTGTCAAAAATCTACAATTCCGTATGCTTGGATGGGAATTTCTTTAATATTGCATTGTAGAGATTGTAGAAGGCGTAAACACTGACCGTGAGAATAACCACCAAAGCAATCCCAAAAACCACTGATAAGAAACTTCCATCGATTATGCTTGAATTTGGTCTTCTTCTCTCTTCAGTTTCATATTGGGCAGCTTGACGATCCGCCATCAATTTTTTCATGTTGTTGAGTCTTTGTCGAAGCTCATCTATGCTTTCAGATGGAGGAGAATCTAAAAAAAAAATTTTTATTTTATTTGGATTTTTTGATTAATTTTTAAGCTTAGTTTTCCGATAAAAATTAATTGAAGAATGTTTTTAGCAAAAGTGGTGGTTATTGTTTGTTTTCGGGGGGGTTGATATATTGGGGATCTGTGTCCCTAAATGAAGTCCCTCAACAGCTGTGCGAGCGTCGGTGACGTCAATATGGAAAGAGCGACTGATCGTGTTTCCGGGAATAGATTGCTATATTTAGCGATTTTATGAATGGACGCGAGCGAATTCGTTTCCACGAAACGGTACGGAACGCAGTTTCACTTACCTGTTTCCATCGTGGTGATAACGTCACGAGATCGGATACGGGACGTGGTGGAATATCGATTGGCAGGATTTGGTCCAGTTATTCCAGCAGGATGAGTGGGTCTCAGATGTGCGCGCGCTTTCCCGGAGCGTCCGTTCGTCCTTACAAAGACGCGGGGGTTGGTTTAAGCCGAAAATCCACTAAGATTTAAAGAGAGAATTATCGCCGACATATTTGATAAAAAGAAATAGAAATTTTTAAAAATATAGTTTACGCTAATGAGCTTGTAATTATATTTAAAGAGTGGTGAAAACCGATGGGTGAAGACCCGTGTAAGTGTGTCTGTAATTGTGGTTGATGTCTTCCGCGAGTGTCCTATCGATTACGTCGAGCGCACGAAGGGCTAGTGCCCCCTTGCTCTCGTTGTAAATTGCCCCCCGTTTTCTAACACTATATTGATTTTTGATGGGATGAAAGGAAGCCGCCCCTATGTTGAAGATTCCCGCACGTTTTAAACAATGTGACCTCAGTGTTTCCCTTGCGTTTGATTATTGTGACTGCATCCTCAACATGGGCACCCGTGCTGCTGCATGTAAGGATACAATATCTCGTTGGACCGATTATCTAACATCCGATGATATCATAATCGTCGGATCCAACGCAGACCACTATACACATATTATCTATACATACTCATTCCATTGACAATCAAAGATCCTCAATATGAATGGTAACACCTAGTGTTATGAAACGGAAACACTTCATTGCGCCCTCTTGTAGTTACTACTTAAACAACGCGCACTCATTGAAGTCTTTGATTGTCATTTGTACAAAAAAATAAAGACAAAACTTTCATTCATCTTAATCATATTTTGTTATTAGTTACAGCAAAGGTGCGGAGTCTATGTGACTACCAGCTACGATTGATGCAAGGGGTCCTTCCACCCCCATCGGGGGTGGATATAGCAAACACTATCAAGTATTTTTCACAAACTCTTCTCAGTAAGTCTACCAAATTTATTTATCAAGGTTGTAAAGATAACTACATGGAGTTTCATCAGGAATATTTTCATCAAAAAAAAATTAAATATAATTAAATCAACCAAAAAAGATAAAAATTGAGAAATTTATACTTAAATTTATATACCGGTAGCAAAAATACATCATTCTTGCACTCAGGAGATAATCCTCCATATGTTTCTTCCATACATCTTAAAAACATAGTAAACACTTCACTTAGAAAAACATTCACAATTTTTAAACACACAGCGCACCCACTTCAATTATAAAACCCGCAAACAAAAATCGTATGGCGATGTTCAATGTGCAATGACAGTTGCAAGCATTCAACTGTTTACATTTCACCACCGTTCCAAGTATGTGTAAGTTGGTACCTATTGAGAATGCCACATATGTTTAGTTATGGAAAATTTTATTCAAGGTCAAACATTTTTATATAAAATTATAAAATATTTATCTTAAACGTTTCAGTTTTTTGTTTCAGGAATACTCGATTAAGACAGAAACAAAAAAAAAAGATTTTTTTGGTAAAAAGATTTAATTATTTTACTCTATGACATACTATATACAGTGTGTTTGATTTTGGTTGGCACAACAGATATCTCGACTATTGCTGGAGATATGACAAAATGTTATGGAAGGAAATTTACATTATTTTATTATTATAAATTTGCCACAACTTTTATTCTAAAAGTTTTTTTGTAGTATGCTCCGAATCTCTTAATCATGAAAAATTAATTAATTTTGAAGAGTTTTCGTGACATAAGAAGTATTCTTTAAGAGTATTCTTCATGATAAGTTGGCCGAGATTATTTCTTCCATAAACTTCAAGCAAGGTAGACTCAGACTTTCCGAGATTATTTCATATATCATGAAAAATGGTTGGGGCAGCCGACATCTTCGAAGTCGGCTGAGATTACTCTTGCCTTTGTTTGACTTCAAGGACGTCGGCTGCCCCAAGTATTTTTTGTGATATAAGAAATAATCTCGGCCGACTTCGAAGACGTCGGCCGCCCATAGGTATTGGCAATGATACTTGGGGCGGCCGACGTCTTCGAAGACGGCCGAGCTTATTTCTTGTATCATGAACAGTACTTAGGGCGGTCGACGTCTTCGAAGTCGGCCGAGATTATTTCTTCCGCCACAAAAAATTCTTGGG